ATTGTGTATTGTGTTATATATTCAATTATGTAATCACATTTTTGATATATTATGTAAATATAAAAGATTTCATTTATTTATTTATTTATTTTATACTTATAACTGTTTTACTTGCATCCATATTTGTGCACCAACTACATCCCAGTACCTGTGGAAGCAAGGAGGGGCTATAAGCTCTTTTAGAATTATAGTTATATGTAGTTGTGATCCACAATGTGAGTGCTAAGAATTGAATCTGCGTGTCCTGGAAGAATACCCACAGCTCTTAACTGCTAAGCTATTTCTCCAACACACACACACACACACACACACACACACACACATCTTCCCACATCCCACACCACACCAAGTTGTAGTTTGTTATTCTTTCAAGTTATGAATCTGAGGTCACTTAAAGCCTGAATACCCAATGAGCTACAACAAAAACCAGGGTGGTTCTTTTTTTACTCTCCATCCGCAGGTTTTGCAACTTTTCCATGTTGCTGCAAGGTGCTCCATGCAGCAGGAAGTAAAGTGTGCAGACTGAGGCCCACATAAGCATGAAGAGATACTTCTCAAAAGTTTCTTGGACAATACATGAGCATCATTTCTCTATTGGTCATTGCAGGTGTGATATGTTTTAACAGTTTATAGATTGAATAAAAGTGTGAATGAATATGTATGAGTAATTATGAAATATATAATTGATGTATCAAATGTGTCTCTTTAATAGCCAGTGACTGTTTAACAAGGAAAAAATGGCAAGGTTAAAAATTGGAAATTGAGGGGTCAAGTATGAGCAGAAGAAAAGCATTGTGGATTAGACGAGAAAAAATAGAAGATGTAGGACAAGATAGACTGGTTAACTGGACATTAAACAGCATGTTTGAAGAAGACATAGGTAGTTTGGAAGTCTAGAAGCTATTTTTTCCTGCTACTATAACCTTAGAAATCAGAACTGAATTCCATATAACATTTACATATATATATAACTAGTCAAAGCCAGTTGAAAAATTGACAGATTGTCAGATGGAATTTTGCATGAGACGTGGAGCAGAGCTTTCAAACAATAGAAATGAAACCATTGGTTGTATAAAGCAAGCAGTCTAATTGCAACCTAGAGGAGGTTTGGAAAAAATAGTTACTTTAACAAATATGTGTAGTGAGGAGCTGCGGGCAGGCCTGCTTTTCATCCCGCCTGGCTCCCGCACAGCTAGCTTAGCCCCAGAAATAATAACACATAAGTTGTATTTATTTAAACACTGCCTGGTCCATTATCTCTAGAGAGTTAGTTACTGACTAACTCTCACATCTTGATTCATCCATTTCTAATAATGTGTGTAGCACTACGAGGTGGTGGCTTACCAGAAAAGATTCAGCATGTCTGAACTGGTGGCTGGCTCCATGGCATCTGCCTCATTGCCCCCTTCCCAGCATTCTGTTCTGTTTACTCTGCCTACCTAATTTTCTGTCCTATCAAAGGGCCAAGCCAGTCTCTTTATTAACCAATGAAAATAACACATAGACAGAAGGCCCATCTACATCAAATATGTTCCTATTTTCCTTTTTTGTCACTGATGACTTGAGAATCTGGTAATTTGTGTTGTCATTTTAGCTACTCATCAGATGGGTTTCTAGTCATATATTTCTCCATACATTTCCGTGGATGCCATAATAGAACGACTAAAACCAGAATTCCCTAGAAGAAAATATAATAATAGTTGGGAGGTTGGGCAACTGCTCAAATAAAAACAGATATCCTCTAGTTATATTTTTGCGTGCAGTAAGCATTATCAATCAAAGTGGAACAAAACTGCCAAAACATTAACAGAGAAATTCTGCTGGTACATTAATTCACGTAAACATTTTTACATCTTTCAATATTCCTTTGCTACAAGAGTTCTTGAATATGTTGATGGCTGTCAGTGGTTATTGTAGGGTAGAATCTCATCAGCAAAACATGATTATTTCTGTGTCACTAGATTTTTTTTCAAAAATGGTAATAAAATTTATAAAATGAGTCAAAAGTAGAAGGTCAACATTGCCACTGAGATAAGACAGTAGAAAAGTTTTAAATATGTGTAATTACCCTACATATCTGCATTTCACAAATTCTCTCTCTTTTCTCATTTTTGGATAGTTAGGAAGTTAGTAGCAGTCTTCCAAACAGCAATAGAAACACTCCTACAAAAACACTAAATTTTTATTAGCTGATATTTAAAGTGTTTAGATGATATACTAAAGTATTTTGTCAGGGAGCTTGTCTTAGTTAGGATTTCTATTGCTGTGAAGAGTCACTATGACCATGGCAACTCTTATAAAAAATACATTTAATGGCATGACTCACTTACAGTTTCAGAGGTTCAGACCATTGTGATCATGAAGGTAAGCAATGCAATGGGCAGGCAGACATGGTACTGGAGCTGAGAGTGCTGCATCTTGCAGGCAGCAGGAACTTGACTGTCACACTGAGGGAAGCTTGAGAACAAGAGACATCTAAGCCTGCACCACAGCAACACACTTTCTCCAACAAGGACATGCCTCCTAATAGTGCCACTCCCTTTGGTTGCCATTTCCTCTCAAACCACCACAGAACTAATTGGGTCATTTAGTCTGCTTATAAAATTCACTGTGCCCCTCCTTATTCTCTCCTTTTTCTCTTTGTCTTTTTCCTTCTCCTCCTTTTCCGCCTCCTCCTCCTCTTCTTCATTCTTTTCTACATGAGATTATTTATCTCCACTTCTCTGAAGTTCAGGATTTAAATGAAATTAATATCCAGATGCAGCATCAATTCTTATATATGGATTATAAGAAATAGATAAATCACAGAATAATGACACTTTAGAGGCCAGGCACCAAAACTATAGGCAGACTTGATATCAAAAGCTTTCTCAACGAATTCATGATAGGTTGGATTAGTTACATTTTTCTTTACCGTGATCACATGCCAGATAAGAAGCAACTGAAGGAAAGAGGGGTTTATTTTCACTGATAAGTCCACAGTGATATAGTCTATCATGGTTGGGAAGGCATGGTAGCAGGATCAGAAGGCCAAGTAGTCACATTGCTTTGGAAGTCCGGAAGCAGAGAGGAAAAGGAATTGAGAACCGATGACAAAACCTTAAAGCCCGCCCCAATGACTCATTTACCTCTAGCAAGGCTCCACTGCTGAAGGTTCCATAACCTTTAAAAACACACACCACCAGCTGGAGACTAAGTGTTCAAACACACAAAGCTATGAGGAACTTTTCACATTCAAACCACATTCGAGGTGGAGCAGTCTTATTCTGCCTGTTCTGCTTATTTGTGGGAGGGAAGTAGGGACAGGGAGTGCAGAGGGAGGAGCGAGGAGGAGGACAGAGACTGTGAAGAGTTAATTTGTAGTTATATGTAAAAATGTTAAATGATTTTTAACTTTTCATAATTGAAATATTCTTTCCAAGGAAGAATAATTGTCATACTTTATTCAGAGCAAAATGAAGCAAAAGGTTGACGCATTAATATTCCTGATGTATATTGCAGATAAATTGGCATGTCAAACCTTCCCAAGGTTAGAATTATCCTTCTTACCAGTGTGGAATAATGCAATGCAAAATATATAGGTTTATATTTCAGGGAAAATACTCTGCTATAAACCATACAGGCTCACTCGGAGTGAGGTATTTGTCTCTAAATAAACATGTTTATGCCTCACATTAGAGGTGACATAGCAGTTTTGTGAGTAAGCTATTCTTGGGATAATCCTCCCTGAATAATTGTCCTTGTAAGTTTGACTTCACACTTGGAATGCTCACTGGAACAGTCACTTTTCTCATGTGTGAAAACTCTAGAAGGTTCTTTCATAAGTGCATATATGGGTGGAGAATGGAGTCATTAATTTATTGTTCTTTCATGGGGAACATGGTACCAAGGGATAGAAGTGCCACCTGGATACCAGAGAACATTTTCACCAAGCAAGCTGGCGGGTAGCAAATTTTCATTCATTTCTTCACACACCCCTGGGTTTATTGTTATGAGATGACAATGTGAGCTTAAAAGTCTTGTCTAAGATCACACAGTCAGTGAGTTTCATATTGTTTCCTTATTTTTTTGTTCAATGAGCACTAAGTTTTACGTTAATATGGCTCAGATCACAACTTTGCTTAGTTCAAATTTCTTGTTAAAATACTAGTATCCCCCAGAGAACGCTCACCCATCTAAGAGGGGTACACATAACTCAGTCTAAGCAATATCTGGGAGCTGCATTCAAATCTTCCAAAGTGCCTTTCCTCATGATCCTTTCTCTTTTTAGAACAGGAGTGGGTGGAGTTGGAGATAGAGGGGTAACTGGGAGGAAAGAATCATCTGTGCCTACATCTTCATGTGAGGTGCACAGTCTTCATCAGAGGGTAATACAGAACAGGAACTCACTGGTCATATAGCTAGGGGACCGCAATTTCCTTAAGGCCCTGTGCTTCTGGAGGGACTATTTACCCAAACAGGAGTGGTTTCCAGAGAAAGCCTATGTAATAACAATTTTCACATTCGTGGCTATGGCAGTCTTTTGATAATTTGTGTTAAAAATGAATTTGAGTTTCTCAAAAAGAGAAGGCTGAGGGGATGGCTTAATTACTGTCTTCAAATATGTGAGAGATTGTTACAGCATTTGGAAGATGACAACCAGCTGCTCCGTCTCTAAAGAGGAAAACAAGAGAAAATGAATTTGCAAAGTGGCAGGACTTAGAGGGAACATGCTTATTATGTGTTGTCTTAACTGTGGGGATGTTAAATACTAAGAGACGGAACTTGTGGGGTAGGGGAGGTGGGGACTTTTTGAAACAATGCGCTGTTTAGGGTAAATGCCAGCTGGTCTACTCCCTTCATGCTGCATAAATATGTACACTATTGAGAACAAAATCAACAGGATCCCATTGGAGCGGGGCTCGATAACCACCTGGCTGCTACAGTTTCCATCAGTGTCCTTCCATACAGATTTGCTTGGGATATTAATTTCAGGTAGAAATTTGTTTTTTCTTACTCAGGATTATGACAGTGGAAACAGGCATGGATATTGACCTTTTCCTTCACCACGGCTCAACTGTGAATATTCACAATACAAAGAATGCCATAGATGTCTTAATTAGTGAACCTCTGGATGTGTCTACTTGACAGCTTAGAGCCACTGGCACAGAGGTAATGTGTGGATAAAGAAAGTTTTTTGCACATATGGGTCTTTTTTTTTCTGGGTTACCAGAGGTTTTTTTTTTTTTTGAACGATTATTGGCAAGATTGTCGTTGCAAATTGAAGTTCACAGCTATAATTCTTCCTCACGGAGTGGAAAATACCCTGGAAGAAATCAGCCCAAGTGTAGGTGTGCGTGTTATTAGTCTTGAGCTTTTACAAGGAGAAGGGTGACACAGAGTCACACCCCCCCCCCCCGAGACTCCGCAGGGGAAATGATGAGTCAGTGTCCTATTCTCGTCAAAGTAACAAGCATGGACCAGTTTTACAGAAGGAAAATAGAATAATTATTTTTAATCCACATTTTCTAGCCAGATACAAAATGTTGTGCTTTTACTTTCTCTGTCCTAATATGTGTAATATGATTATGTGTAATATATGTTATATGATATATATTTAATAATTCAACGTAATAGACGGTTAATATAGGCCAACTTTCCTGATTACTTTTGATTTAAAGACAACTTGCTAGCTATGTTTTAAAACTTTGGAACTGAATTCTGCTGCATTTTATGTTTACAGAATGGGAGTTGAACCTTATTTAAGAGTTTCATTTTCAGTGTGGCTTAAGATGTGAGCTATCATCGTCCGCCATTGCGAATGGCCATTCTGATATTGCAATGAATGTGAAGAGGGGAGGGGCAGTGTACTTTTGTGAATACTCAGATAGTCTGTTTTCCCGCCCATGAAAGCCTGTATTTTATTTGATGTGATAAAATGGCCCTCATGCACTTTCTGATGTCAATATGAGTTGTTTACCTGTCTGTGAGTAGCAATTAGGTTTCTTGTTAATGATCACTGTGTAATTGAATGCTGCTAGCTAGTCATTAAAACCCAAGGGATCAGAAGAAACAATTTCTCAGGCTCGTGGCACCTTGTTCTAGAGGTTTTAAAAATAACTCCACATGTACATATTTTTCCTCCTCTCAAATTGCTTCAGGAGTAGAAAGGTGTTCGGTTCACAACACATAGTTCATTAAAACAAGCCTTTCCCTTTAGAATTTCCATTTCAAGATTATGGGGAGAGAGAGAGAGGGAGAGAGAGAGAGAGAGAGAGAGAGAGAGAGAGAGAGAGAGAGAGAGACTGAGACTGGATGGCTTGTAATGAAAACAAGGAGGACCCCATGTGTTGCGAAATTTAACTATAAACTTCTACACTAAAGACTTGTTCGAATGGAAACTCAGCAAGGCCTTCTAAATTAGTCTTTTTTCCCTCCATTTCTAACAAATTATTCCCTCTCACCTCATGGCATAGGTAATGAGGAAGAACAAAGTCATTTTTTTTTCCCCTTCACTCAAGTTGAATAGTAAAACATAAGAGAACAAGGAGGGTTTGTCTTTCCTGTGGTCTTTGGAAAGTTTCCTGAGAACCCAGTATTCCTATTTTATGGAAGCTGCAGGTCTTTGTTGTTCCCTATTTCTTTGGACAATATAGAAAATATTTGATATTTGAGTGTGTGGCACATACCACCAACTCTTTTTAGCAGTTATTACCTGGCTTTGCAAACACTTGGATTTCTAAAACACTTTGCTATTAAATAAAGTTTACAGTTGATATGTACAACAGTATGCATAATATTACTTTTAATGAATATTACTAGATACATGGTGTGTACAAATAAATGCAAAATTCATATATATGAATGATCTCTAAAGTCATTTCAGAAACTGATAAGAAAATTTCCCCTTCTGATCCAGTCAATAAAGCAATGAGTTTTCCTGAGCTTTCTCAAAGACTGATTGCTTGGCAGAATAAATTGTTTAAAACTTTTTTGCCCTTTAACTTTATTAAATGCCTGACATTTAGCAGCATTAGCTGATGGCAGAAGATGAGCCGGTTCTGTGTGCTATATCCTGGAACATGATGCAAGGCATAAAAAAGAAATCTGGACAGAAATGTTGCCGTTAGTTTGGAAGTCACTGTTGAAGCTGAGTTATTCAGGGAGGAAAATGACTCATGGAATCTAAGTGTTCACAGGGATTGCGATGTTGTGGGAGGCTGGCCTGACTCTTCATTAATCTTGTTTCAATTAGAACTCTTCACAGGCTGTAATTAGAATGCTGCTGTTGTGAGGGATCCATGCTGTACATGTATGAGTGACTATTTTCTAATGAAGAAAAACAGGCCACTTGGCATTTTAAAGGCAGATTTCCATTTTGGGTAATTCAATAGATGTGCATGCTCTTCCCACGCTCTCTGAACTCCTTGAATTGTCCCTTAACGCTAGTAAAATGATTTCAATAAATTTTAATCATGTCAAACACAACTCTTGTACATCTTCTAGACTGTGTCTCCATGGTTAAGGAGCAACCCCATAAAATTGGATATCTGGATCTTATTTAGAGCGGTGATCTGCAAACGTTTTCTTACGGAGCAAGATAGTAAATATTTAGACTTGAAGCGACCCTGGTCTTTGCTTTTGGCCATGAACAGCACTAACTGCTTTTCTTATCCCTCCCAGACTGCCCTGCGTTTTGTCTTCTCTCTTTGTGTGATTGACAAAAGTCCAGTTAATGGCTTCCTCTGCCAAATCCTCTTTGTCTGTAAACACGATTTAAGAGGCATATGCTGTTGAAAAGCAATAACAGGAATATGATATACCATGAGATAGTAGAATCAACATTGGACTGAGATTAATAAAGCTTTATAAACACACTAAATTGATGCTAATACTAACATAAATCTGGCTAAAGGCAAGAAGAAGTGTTAGAGATAGAATATGAAATTCCAAAGTGAGGTAGATCTGGAGATGTATTCAGATTGCAAAGTTTTTTACTGTGTATCCCTGAGCAAATTTTCCACCCTCTGAGTGTCTGTTTCTTTATTCATAAATAGAGATGTTTAATAACTGTTCTCCCTGGGCTGCTTTTCAGTGTAAATAGCTACATAATAATGATATGACAGCAAAAGGATGGTAGCAGGATGATGTCAATGCCCCGTCTTGCATCCAGTTGGGCCTATGTCAAGAGGCGGAAGTGAGAGGGTAACTTCACTTGACTTTTACTGTGAAGAGAAGCTCTCTCGAGCATCTCACTAGGTCACCTATGAACCAATCGTTGCAAAGAGGAATCAGGTAGACTTTGGGGGCATCCAGTTGAACTGGACTTCAACTGAGGATCCCTTTGGTAAGTGGTTCTGTGAGACAGGGTTGGGGACTAACACAACATTCTTGGGGGAAAGAAGAATCACAGATCCAATAACAGTCCCATTCCACATTTTCTAGGCTTCGGTATTGTGTGAGGGAATAATACGATTCCATCCACACATTTTTTTCCCTCTCCTTCCTTTATTTTTAGTTTTATATTGGTGATTGAAGCAGGTGGTCTTACACCTGCTAGGCAAATGCTACCACTAAGATAGACTCCCATCAATTTCTGGTTAAATTTTGGAAGCTTGAAACCATCTCATTAAGCTGTCCAAGCTTACCTTAGCTTGCTATGGAGATTAGGCTGTCTTCACATGTGCATTCTCTGCTTCAGCCTCCTGAGGAGCTGGGATACTGACGTCCTACCACATCTGCTTCCTTTGTTTGGAGCTCATCCTTCTAGTTTTCATGAACGACACTTGATTTCTTATTTTGTCTTTGGTTATTTTGAAGGCGTGTACCTTTCCCTCTTCCTTCCCCGTTCCTGTCTCTCCATCTTCCTTCTGCTTTGTCCCCCTCTTCTTCTCTTCTTTTTACTCATTCAATAAACTCTTTCAGAACTTGTACTTAATCATAAATTGTGAAAGTTGTTATTTTATATACCCAGTATAAAATGAGAAGCTCTTCTCCTTTTCTCTTCATCTCCTGCCTTATTGATTGTAGACTAGTTATTTTTGGTAGATGAATTAGTATGATTTTTCAGGATGTTGAGCTTTTGTGATTTTACTTTTTTATCACTATAATCAATTTTTTTCAAAGATAGAACTGCAAGCAAGTCTTCTATCTTGAATTGTTCTAGGAAAGATACTTTTTACATTTCCACTCAGTTCTGACTTTTATTGATAATTTTCTTTTCTTTTGTCATTGACGTGTATGACTTCTTGCTTTTATTTTGAAATTATTTGAAAACATTTAGTACTCAAACATCTGAGATTTTTTTCATTCAAATAAGTGTTAAAATGTTTCTTATTACCAGATCTTTTAAGATTTATCCTAGATCTGGATTCTTGTTCTTTGATGTGCTTATGTATACATGCACACATATACAGGCATGTGTGTGTGTGTGAGTGTGTAAGTAGTAGGCAGTGTAGACAGAGCCCTGCTCTTTATTTAAACATTAGTGTTTATTTTTTTCACTTACATGATTGGTGTAAGGTATCTGGCACTATAGTAGCACTCAGTAACTCATCTTAGATGATGACTCAATGTGTATTTATCTACTAATATTGTTGATTAATATCGTTTGCTTTTTGACACTCTCAAATTATTATCAAATTTCAGAAACATCAATATCATTTGGAAAAAAGAGATTTATCCACAAGAGAGTGTTCCAAAATCCCCCAGTTACAGTTTTCCTGCTATGCACATTTGTTTCTTGGTGGTCAGCACTTCAGCTCTGGCTATGAATCATCTTACATGAATATTAAAACTCTTATTTTCATCTTCACATTAACTGCTGTGCTGTCAGGGGTTTTATAATCTCAATAGGGTTACTTGAGGGTAGAGTGTGTTCTTTCTCTCATGTAATAGCAGAACAGGGTGTTCTTGAGAGGTGAGGTGACTAACCTAAGCTGTACATCAGCGGAACAAGGCGTTCTCTGTAGAGTTCAGCTGTCCTGACAGCCGCAGCTTATAATTCATGCTGCATCTTAATGCGGCTTTTAAATATGTATGATAGCATTCTTCTTCACCGACCACACTGTGTTGATTGTCTAGAGTTTCCAGTCTCAACTCATGTGTGTCTGATGCTCTACCATCCTTCCCTAAGTTTCAGCTGAAAATTAT